CGCAACGAGCTCGAGGAAGGTTTGCACGAGGCCGGTGCAGCACTCCTCTCCTGCAGCGGTGAGGGGGGCGGGGGCGTGCACGACCGCTCTGCAAGAAGGCCTCTCGAGAGTCCGCTGTCGTGGCCGGAATGTGTGTGACTGCCTCTCTCTCTCGTCTCCACGAATGGCATCTAAGCCTCCTGCCCGCCGCTTTGCTGACAGCCGCCTCGAGCGTGCGCGAAGCCGCCGCAACCGGCTCGGGACCTACCGAAGTGCATCCGAGAATAGGCAGCGCGCAGACTCGTCTGGACAAGAGGCGCGATGCTCATCGTCTTGGCGATGATATAATCGAGATCTGGCCGAGGTCTCGGCGATGTCTCAGCTATCCGTGACCAGCAGACGGGCAGGAGAGGGAGAGGAGAGGGAGCTGCAGCGGGTAGCGCTGCGGCAGGCTGACCCGCAGCGCAGCGCCGCCCGAGCGCACCAGGAAGGCACTGGCGGCGGCCGTATGAGCCACCTCCTCCTCAGCAAGCTCCTCTGGAAACATGGCGGCGAGAACAGCGAGCCTGAAGCAAGGCGATCCTGATTGTCGGCAAATGCTCGCAGCCAGTGTTGATGAAACGCGAGGGGTTGAAGGCTCCTCTGCATACTCTGAAAGCATCTGGCGATGCCAGCTCGTCACGCTGCCTCTCGGCGCAGCTCTCGAGTTCGTCCATGGGCACGAGAGAACACAACCGCTCGCCGTGTCCGCCTCGAGCTCGCGCCTGCGCAGACGCCGCGGATGCTCACGCGCTCACGCCGCACGACACGCCGCGGGACACGCTGCACGAGTGTGCGGGCGCGCGCACGTAGGGTAGTAGGTCTGGGCCCTCCCGTCCGCAGTGCGGTGGTCTACCGTCAAACAAGCTGCAATGCGCCTCGGAGATCCCCCAGCGGCACTCAGTGAGCAGGGACGAGGCAGGCACACGCTCGAGTCGGTCGGGGTGGCACGAAGTTTCGTCCGTTCGTGTTTTTTGCCACCTCCACACACACGCACGGGCGACCGACAGACAGAAGCAAGCACTTTCGCCGCCGCGTGACCACCGTTTGTTCATTCATGATCTCTCTGTCAATGCGGGCTTTAAACTAGTTTCTGGGTAGATTTTCGGGTGCGGGTGATTTTCAGATTGAAGTGAACAGATCACTAAAGGGAGGTTTCGCCGGGATCTCCTGAGCACAGGTGTGGACAACGCGGCAAAACAACGGAACTAAACTAGGCAACTCACGCACGTCCCGACCTACACGCGGCGAGTCCCGATATATTCCTGTGCCTCGGCGTGGCCCGGCGCCAGCCGGCCAAGGGCAAGCGGGTCGATCGTCAAGAAGTCGGTCGGCACAGAAGCGCCGCCGCCAGCGCCGCCACATGACAACGTCTCCGACGTCGTGCGTTGCAGCTGCCACGGTCCTACCCGAACTATGTCTGGATCACAACATCTGCCATGAAGCTGCCATCTATCTTGGTCATGCGCTTACAATTGACGTGTGCGTCGAGAATCGGGCCTTCACGGCTGAGGACTATTCAGAGCGAATCACATCAGGAAAGGTTATGGTCCCTGTTCACGCTGCGTTTGTGGCCAATTCTTCAATTAGCGTTTATATTCAGGCTCCATCTGGCACACGACAGGGGGGCCAAGCGATCAAATTCAACAGCTACTCGCCGTCTCCCCTAGCCCCCGAGTCGAC